TAAACTGCTTATTCAGAACAGGGGCAAAATGGTCAATTTATCACAATCAGCTGTTTTCCATAAGCGCCAACAAAACAGCCAGACAGCTTATCCGGATCAGCTGCTCATCAGCAGATTATCAGGATAGGCTGCTTATCAGCAGAAGCTGGATAAGCTGCAGCTGCCCCAAACAGACCCTTAGTCTCGTTGAGCTCTGGCTTTGGCTTTTGGTTCTTGTTGAGCTCTGGCTTTGGCTTTTGGTTCTTATTAAGCTCTGGCTTTGGCTTTTGGTTCTTATTAAGCTCGGTTTTGGCTTCTGGTTCTTGTTGAGCTCTGGCTTTGTTTGTTTTGGCTCTTGCTAGGCTCGATTTTGGCTGGGTTTGGAGTCTTGGTTTTGGAATTAAAATGAATAGAGCTCTATCTTTACAGAGGCCCTCGTTGGGCTCGGTTTTGGCATCCCACCGGTGTCTTGGAGTAAATACACGTGTGGTGGATGAATTTATGTTGATTTGGAATAACTCTGTAGTTGTTCATGTGTAAGGCATGCGTCGTTTCTATATTTGATGTCTCAGGGGTATGGAAATGCTTTCTTTCTACTATTCTGTTGTAACCTGACTTTGAGCCTTAGCTATGACTCGGTTTTGGCTTGATTTTGGAGTCTCGATTTTGGGCTTAAAATGACTATAGTTTTAATGCTTTATGGAGGTCTGGATTTTAATATCGTTGGGCTCAGCTTTGGGCCTTGAATGGCTCGGCTTTGGGCTTTTGTTGGTGCTCGGTTTTCATTTCAGGAGTATGGGATGTTGAATTTTTTTTTTTTGTGGAGACTTGAGTCTTGACTTTTATTGAGGTGTTAGAGCTCTCTTCCTAGCTTTAAGAGCTCTTGTTTTAGCCTTGCTGGGCTCGGTTTGGCTCTAGTTGGGGGGGCTTGGTTCGCTTTGTTTGGCCCTTACCCGAGGGATGGTTTGGAGGTGGTTTTATTGGCTTTGGTTCCTACTCCTACGCGTGAACCCATTGGACATTTCTTGAGTTTAATTTATCCCCTCTTGTTAAGTTTGAATCATTTGAATGATTGTAGATGGATCAAACTTGTTACTTTGAGAGATTGGTGATGTTTTGTACTCTCTCATGTATATCAAAACTTGTAGAGAATTGATTTGGGTTTGCCCCGTCCGTGAGCCTCACTTGTTGTTCATTGGGTTTGCCTCAG